TGTTACGACATTGCCGTCCAAGAGTTTTTTTTGTAGGAAATGACTTGAGAAACATTTTTTTAGAACATTTGAAAACGATATCTCGTTGTCTTACCCCTCGTTTGGGTGATTTTTCAAACTGAGTACCCCCCTAAAATCTAGAATTCATGTAAATTCACTGTAAAAAACCATAGTAGGTATGTGCTGGTATGTTGAAATTTTCATAATTTAAACTTATAAGAATGAAAACACTCTAAATGCGATGATTTTAATCATACTTTATTGTAATTTTAATTCAATTTAAAAATATTATTGGTTTTTTTTTTCTTTATTATTGAGATTTTTAGCCGCAGGCTGGTTCATCTCCCGTTTAATGGTAACATGGAGAGGGCGTTTGAAAGATCCAGTGAGGCCCCCCTTGACAATCGAATAATAAATAGTTACAGTGGTTCATGCCATATTATACATACGATAAAGATGTAAAACAAAATCGTAATCCGTTAAACGTTGGCAAATGTGGGTTGCTGAGATGATAACAATATTGATGTTAAAGGGTGTCCACGATGAAATTGCCACACACAAAATTGATTCGCAAAATTCGAGTTTTCATCCGATTGCCATCAAATTTTCAGGGATTGAGAAATAACTATTAAACTTCATTTTACTCGTATTTTATTTACAGTCCATACGCAAATGCCCGCACCTTGGCCTTAACCCCGGCCATAAGATTCTGCACAACCTGTGAATCAACCGTTTTTTGCATGTAAACCCATACTTTCTTCAGTTCCTCGACTGTCTTCACTACCTTAGGTCGTTTAAGAAGGTGCGGCTTCATAATCGCCCAGTACTTCTCGATGGGGCGGAGCTTCGGAGTGTTGGGAGGGTTGAACATTTTCGGCACGAAATTGACCTTATTGTCCGCATACCACTTCAGCACGTCCTTGGAGTAGTGGCATGAGGCCAAATCCGGCCAGAAGATTGTTGGGACGTTGTGGGCCTTCAGGAGAGGAAGCAGCCGCTTCTGGAGGCACTCTTTTATGTACACCTGTCCGTTCATCGTGTCCTGGGTCACGAAAGGTGCACTCCGCTTCCCGCACGTGCAGATGGCTTGCCAAACCAGGAATTTCTTCGCAAATTTGGACATCTTCTGAGTGCGGACATGCTCCGGAACGCTGAACTTATCCTTGGCCGTGAAAAACAGGTTACCGGGGATCTGTTTGAAGTCGGCCTTCACATATGTTTCGTCGTCCATGATGCAGCATTCAACTTTCGTCAGCATGTTGAGGTACAACTTCCTGGCACGGGTTTTGGCGGACTTGTTCTGCTTCTCGTCGCGATTAGGGGCCTTTTGTACCTTGAACGTTCGAAGCCCAGCCTTAGTTTTGGCCTTCTGGACAAAACTTCGGCTTAGGTGCAGCTTCTTAGCCACATCCCTAACGGAGGCGTTCGGATTTCGGTTGAAGGCCCCAACTACGCGGTTGTGATTTTTGGTGTTGTACGGAATACTTTTTCCTTCACTTCTGGGCTTCCGATCGGTGGTCAACCGTTCCTCGAACCGCTTAATTACTCGCGACACCGTGGAATTCGCGATTCCCAACGTTTTAGCGATGGAACGATGCGAGAGATCCTTGTTCTCGTGATGAATGCGCAAGATTTTATCACGCACGAGCTGTTCTTTCGACTCCATTTCCGCGAGTTTTGATCACAGGACTTTAAAACTTGCAGGATGTAAATAATGCACTATGAACTAAATCCACCCAAATTTTCATTAAATTCTTTGCAGGATGTAAATAATGCACTATGAACTAAATCCACCCAAATTTTCATTAAATTCTACCCAACGGTTAAAAAGTTAGAGCAATTTCATAGTGTGGCAATTTCATCGTGGACACCCTTTAGGAGAATAGTCCGTTAGGTGTTTGCAGGATGATCAGTTGTGAAATGGCAAATCTCATAGCGTGGACAGAAGATAAGCTTTTCAAATTTATGTGTATAGTTCGGTGTCTTTCAGGAAGCACAGCAAGGCAGATTCGTATGAAGGATCGTTACTTAGAACGTCTCGCACTCTAGCGTGGATACCATACAGACGTCGATGATCCTCATACTTGGGACAATTCACAAGTATGTGTTCTACTGATTGTTCTGTTTGGCATATATCGCACCGTTTGTGCCTGTCTGGTACTATGGAATAATCGTGGGTGACTCGAGTGTGACCCGTTCTTATACGTTCTTAGGGTTCGTTGGTCTTTCCAGCGGGGCTGATCAGTCCATTTCTTGATGTCACCTTTCACCTTTCGCAAAAATAGCCATCTTTTTTGTTGCCAGCTTTGGGCCCAAGCATCTTGGATGATCGCTTTAACCCATGTTTTGACGTCGTCAGCTGGCGTTTCATTGGTATACAAATTTGATTCCCGACCGACAGACGCCAGATGGTCAGCGGTTTCGTTTCCAGCTATTTCGACGTGTCCGGGTATCCAGGCAAATCGAAGGTTGCTATTAGCCGCATTGTGTATCGCTTGGATCCACGGGTGGCTATTCTTGTAAGACTCGAGCGCCGAAAGTACACTTGCTGAGTGAGTGAGTTGCCGTAGGACACGATGAAGCTCCAGAGGTAGCTAAATATATGGCGACAGCTTCGGCTGTGAACACGGAACATGTATCAGGTAGGCGATGAAAGTAGGTTATATTGGGACCGGTTACCCCAATTCCCACGTGACCCAGTGCTTTAGAGCCGTCGGTGAATATGAGTTGGTTATTGGCAAGTTTGGTAGAAATGAATTGTAGGTATGCTTTGTGAAGATGAATAGAGTTTTCTCCAGCTCTGAAGTTCCTTTTATTGTCCAGTCGATATTCAATTGAGGAGAGTTCCAATCTCTGTCTCCTACCCAGTGAGCCTCAGAAACTGGAGGGAGCTCTTGATTGGTCAAATATTGAAGGAGTTTGTTCGCCTCCGTGAGGAGGAACACTCCCTTATTCTCACCGATGGTGCGTTCAAGGAAGCTAACTGCTTTGGAACAGGTAGCGATGGTCATCAGATGCCTAAAGGGAAGTACACCGGTCTCGATGCAAGCAGCTCTTTCTGGAGTGGATGAGAGTAGCCCTGATACGGTCCTGATACACCGGTTGTAGATCGGTCCCAGCATTGCGACCATCAAGTCGGCCGCACGGTATATGATTTCGATCCCATTGAGAAGCCTGCTTGTTACTACGGCGTTGGAGATTCGAAGTGCAATGTCTCGGTTATTACATTGATGGCGACTGGTGATAACCCGCAGGAGCCGAATCCGGGACTGGCAGTTCTCTCTAACTGCTGTGAAATGTGGCTTAAAACTGAGCCGGCGATCGAGGAGAACACCGAGGACTCGACATTACTTTTTATCGGGTATCGTCAATCGAAATGGGCCACTTCCAGGGATGGTGGTTACTCATGCAGAGGTGAGTTATTGCACTCTTATTGATATATATTTTTACTTTTCGTGTTTCCTATAGTCACCTGGAAGGTTCTATTGATTAGAAAGTGTCGGATGGAGCGAAGAATGTGGCCAGACAGGCCCAATATTATTAGTCTTTCCTGATTATAAGAATAACACAACTTTCTAGGACTGAGAAAATTAATCATATTTGACTTTCCTGTTGTCCCCTGAGTAAAAGTCTGCGACATACTTATATCCTAACACGTCCTAATTTTTTGGTACCACCCTCTTTATGAATTTTGGTATGTTGTCCCGATGACGGTCGTGTGCTGCCTAAACTAAAACATATTACGATATTGCTGTCGAAGAGTTTTTTGTAGGAAACGATTAGAGGAACATTTTTCTAGAACATTTAAAAACGATATCTCCTCGTCTTACCCCTCGTTTGGGTGATTTTTCAAATTGGACACCCCCCCCCCCCCCTCTCAAAAATCTAAAATCCATATAAATTCACAATACCAAGACCAATAATATTTTTAAATTGAATAAAATAACAATAAAGTATGATTAAAATCACCGAATTGAGAGTGTTTTCATTCTTTTGGGTTGTTAAAATAATTACTTTATGGAAATCTCAACATACCAGCACATCTATGGTTTTTACAATGAATTTACATGAATTCTAGATTTTTAGGGAGGTACTTAATTAAAAAAATAACCCAGACGAGGGGTAAGACAACGAGATATTGTTTTCAAATGTTCTAAAAAAATGTTTCTCAAGTCATTTTCTACAAAACATTTTTGGACGGCAATGTCGTAACATGCTTTAGTTAGGCATGTTGGGACAACATACCAAAATTCATAAAGAGGGCGGTACCAAAAAATTAGGATGTGTTAGGGAATAGGTTTGTTCACGACTTTTACTCAGGGGTACACAAGAAAGTCAAATATGGCCAACTTTCTCAGTCCTAGAAAAAAAAGTTCAGATTTGTAGCACAGTGTAATCGGTGAAAATTGATTTTCCAAATTTTATTTTTATACATCAGAAAAGCAAACAAATCATAAATGTTAACTGGAGATATGATTTACCATCAAATCAACCACACTCCGTTACAGTAACAGCATTTTCTTTCTCTCATTTCCATCACCTATTGATAGATCAATCAATGCGATACATTGTCCTACCATTATTCGTGTTATGGAAACGAAAATATTTGATCGATTGTTTACTCCAAACATGATTTGTTCACCTAAACACCCAAAAATGCAATCATTACGTATTGATTCAAGAAGCATATGTATGCTTACGTGTTAAGTTAGGTTACGTATAGCAGAACCAGAAAAGCCGGTGCCGGTAAAACGTAAATAGTTACGGGAAGCAATAAAGAATAAGATATCACGAGGTACTGTACTATGTAGTGAGAGAATATTGTAAAGCAAAATGAGAGAGAATGTTAATGTATACTCGGAGAGATTCGGGTTTGAGTTTCTCGTGAGAGCGATAGCGGTTTTACTGCCATACACAGCTGTAGGCATCCACATGCCGCCGAGGCGCAATACTACTACTCCATCTGTATCTACTCTGTGCAACCAGCGACGAGACGAGCGCTAACCGTTAGTTGGCGAGTACATCCAGTTCGGTTAGGATGTGCCGATTCGCGAATCTCTTTTGTCGGTTCCATTGATATTACTGACAGCGCGTGAAACTGAAAGGGAATGGTTCAGTGAAAAGAGGACAAGTGCAAATTGGTTAGTGGAAAAAATAAAATGTGCTTTAACTTTTAATGATTGAATTAGTCAAAGTTGAAATTGAGGAGTGGGATGAATTGACGGTCTTGTGGAAAATCGTAAAACCGCGCTCAGAATATACAAAACTGAAAAATTGCAATTAAAAGAAGGTGTGTTTGGCAGTAAGCAAAATTTTCATCGATTTTTCTCAACCCAGATGTGCGTCTCTTTCTCTGTTGACGAAGCTTCTTCTCTGCATATCATGGTCGGATAAAGAGGATGAGGATTATTCACCCCGGGAGCAACTAAACAGCTCCAGTGTAATGCTAATGTACCCCGAAAATTCTGGTACTCTGGTTCTGTCAAATCGAATAATGGTGGAGTAAATTTACAATTGGTCTTTTTTTTTATCAACTTTTTTTCCCCGTTTTTAAGTTTTTTGTTTTTTTTTTAACTTTTTATAAAAACAATGATATTTTTTTCTAATAGTCTTCCAATCGACTCAGCATGACGGGATCGGAAAATGTCTATCTATTTATGTGTGTGAGAGAGCGCGTAAGACAATTTTCTTATATGTATTTCTCGGCAACCACTCTACCGAATTGAACGCAACAACAACCAAATGAAAGCTACCATGATTCTATAGAATGTTAATTAATAGTACGTTCAGACTATAGAGTTATAACATGTTATAGCGCTATCTTGATGGTGATTTCTGTGTTGCAATTATTTGACAACCGTTATAACATGTTATAACTTTCCAGTCTGTACAGCGTTTAATAGACTTTCAATCGATTAACTGGTTCCGGATATATGGACGGAACAAGACCCTAAAATCCGGGAACTAAGTGATGTTTGTCAGCAACCACATAACCGAAATAAACGAAACCCTTTAATCGGGTTACTGCCCAGTGCCCACATAGGAAATAACCATAAAAAGTGCAAGCGATGATGATGAATTTTGATATAATTAAATCGATTGAATTCCAAGATACAATACAACACCAGTAATACGTCTCACTCAAAATTTATTCTTGGTTTGCTTTCGACGTCCACATGAAGTGAAACAAAAACATGTTTTCTGATGTGAAAAAAGTTGTGCCACCAACGATGGCTGACCCCATTGTTTACGTACGGTGGAGACATCTACAATTTGCAAGTGGGTACGTGAAACTAAGGTTTTCTGTCTAGATGCTCGGGGGGTGGGATTATTATACTAAAATGGAAAATTGAAAAAAGGTAGATTCGTTCGGATAGGTGAAGCAATTTCCGAAGTTCCTCAATTGAAGAGAAGTGCATCAACTACCGTACGGGGATCGATTGTATAGTGACCAACATAATTGACATGGCAACAAAAACACATCGGGCTACTACGTGCACATGTGTAATGACAACATTATACAGCTTCGTCCGCTTCCTTTAGATGGTATTGATTATTGTTGGTATGGAATGTCCTAGCAACAAACCGAGGTTTATGTAATATCCTAAATCGATATATCTTAACTAACATGTTGTTATCGGACGCGGTCAAACAAAAGGTCAATCCAAATGTCTTTGACTGCAAAACGAAAAGAAGCAATTATATTCTCTTCATAATAACACATTTTCGATTGCATACAAACAAACCAGTTGGAATAATGAGAAAGCGGTTGATGTCAGCAGCGATGCAGACAATGATTCACTTTTGTTTCCCCCCTGTTTGGGGTGTATTTTTTTTTTTTTTTCCTTTGGTTTGTTTTTTCCGTCGATCTTGTTTTCCGTGCTGAGCACCAATGCTACCGACGTGCCAGGAAGGCAGCTCCCACACCTGGACCCTACCTATCGACCCATCAACTCATGAACCGGGGACCAACGGCTTTACTTCCCATCCGAAGGAAGGCGTGATCAGAGATGTTATGCCTCAGAACATCCCGGCGGCGCCGACTGGGATTGAACCCAGGCCTGCTGGGGTGAGAGGTAATCACGCTTACCACTACACCACCGGCGCCGTTATCTGTTTGGGGTGTATTCGAACAATTGTTACGTTATGGTAACAACCAGTGATGTATCGCTCTTACTATTTATTATAGAATTCTGACGTAAGATCCAGTTGAATTGTCAGTTAACCCATCGTAAAATTTCCGCACCAATTTCCGGCACTGCAGTGCGAGTGCGGAAATTTTGCATTTTGATAGGGAATTTAATAGCACTTAACTATCTATTTTAAGATGGGTTAATTGAAAATACAATTTGATTTATCGTAAGCATTCTATATTGAAATTAATAAAAAAAGTCTCAAAAGAGCGATCCATCCCTGGTAACAACCACAGTTCACGTATAGTCGCTATATTCATAGTCTGGCGGATAGAATTTCGATCTATCAAAAAGTGGAACCTATTCAATATATTGTAGACCTCAACTGTTGGTGGTACTATTAACTTTTATAAACAAAACGTTGATTATTCTTTCCTCGCCAATCGAAGGTAAATTACCAGCATCATCGGATAGGGGAAACTTTCCGCAACCTAAATATTGTGTTAGTTTGTATAGGCAAGGCTTGAATCACGAGAAAACGGTTTTCGAAATTTTGTTCGCAATAGCTGATGTTTGTTTTCTGTTGTTGGTCGTGATTTGCTCGATTGGTTCCGCTATTTGACAGCTCAATTGGTTCCCGAGATTCTATCCGTCAGACTATGAATATAGTGACTATAAGTTCACGGTGTCTAACTTAGAAAAATATTAAAACAAACAAAAAAATCGTCATTCCCGAAACCTTCACCATTCAAAAGAGGAAACTTTTCCCGTCATTTTGCAACTAGGGTAATGAATATAATTTGGCCCACCTGACTATATTTTGCACATTTTATCACATACAATTAGCAAAATTTTAGAATATTGTGAAAGCTACAAGAACATTATTTCACTACTTAGCGCCTTCCATTCTTATTTTCTGTAAAATGTTTCATTCAGTGGTAGCAAACTGAAAATATACCCACGCATTTTCATACTAGTGCTGAATCGGTCTACAGGAGGTGGCATAATTGAATCCAACTTTCAAGAGTTATTATTTTTTAAATGTATGCTTTTTGAACAGGCGAATGTGGTTATTGCGCAAGGGATAGGTCACTCCACACACCAGTCTTGGGTCATCTTTTTTGTCAGTGTGCCGATTGTGCTGGTCACAGAGCAAGCTGCGATTGTTTGAGAAATATACATCCCGCGGCAACCTGGTATTTCTGACACCTTGCATGTTTTGGTTTGAAATCGCAAGGATAAATCGGATTGAGGATGACGCGCGAAGTGGCGGGCGTGCGAAATTTGGGTGTTTCGTGTTCATAGAATAATAAAAGTCCTGTGTTGTAGGGTGTTTTATAATGCCCTCAAAGGCAGACCAGAAACCTAGCTTTTCGTGCTTTGAAAAGCAACGGTCTATCAGGGGCCGGAAAGAGTTGGAACCGGTGGGGAACATTGTTGGAGACCGACTATAGAGGATGATAAATAGACTTCTGTAATTTGTTTTGTGTGAGTTGCAGCATTATTTTAATTAAGGGTACTAATGAGTCTAATTAACTGCCTCTTTCTCTTGAGCCTACTCTAGAACCTACGGTTCGTATTTAGATCTATAAGTGAACAGCTGGTCTGAGTTCCTCAGTCTGTCAAACAGCACTTTATGTTGTGAAAAACTTCAATGACAGTTGTCAAGCAGTGCTCACATTTTAATTACAACAATCCAATGCCTAAGAGATTGTGCCGAAGATGTGCTGATGGATGTGCCCAAGCTGTGCCGAATCTAATTTCGGCACAATGTGCTGAATAACTTACCCCTTGTTATTGCGTCAAATAAATCCGATTGAAACCGGTTCTTAGCTCGAAGAAGCGATAAAATGTGTTAAAATAGTGATCTAAGGCATGGCGAAAATATGTTCGTCGTTATCTAAAGAAAACATATTTTCGCCATGCCCGTTAACCAGCACATTCAGGTGATCCAAAATATGTTCCAAACCAGGTTTGAAGTATAAAAGGTGGGGGGACATATGTATTGTTTAGTTTTCAAAAATAAAATAAAAAGCGTCTTCAAATTGAAGACACATCTAGTTAAAAACACCATCGAACAACATAACTTCCTGAAACCTGCAAGAATAGCCTTAATACGTCAAAATATTCCCCAAAATAGCAAAACATTGCAAAGAGAAGGGTCAAAGCCGCTCGTAGCTGCCGACACAAGTAGCTGTGGGGTTTTTTCGGTGCGAATCACGCGATAGTCTGTTTTTCGATAGCAACACATTGTTGCGGTGCTTGCTCTTTGTTTGAAGTTCGTTCGCTTTTGCCGCTTTGCCCGTTGTTGAAAGTAAACAACTAGTGGAGATGTGTAATATAAATAAAACTGACGTTAAATCCATCAATGGAATAATTTGCGAATTTTGTGAAATCGCTGGACGCGGATCCCACTTAGATGATCGCTACATATCGCATAGCGGAGGAAACATATATGTTCATCAAGTTCATGCTTTATTGTTTGTTACACAACCGTGAACAGTTCTGAAGCGCGTAGTTCGGTAGAAATTTTCTGCCGCCTTGTCCTTCGATATGCTTACAGGTGTGCGGTGTTTATTTATGACTGTTAAAAAGGAGATTCCCAACTCGCTGCATTTCCTCAATCGAAAGGGGAATATATTCTATCAAGGGAAAAAAATTAGTGTCTTCCTTTGTAACAGGAAGGGGCATCGGATGAATTCATGCCCCTAACGGAAGAATCCGAAATAACCAGTACAACAACGGACGGAAGAAGAAAACGAACAACGTACGCTGGAGGCGCATCGCTAAACGAGGAAGCAGTTGAGGTCTTGGAAGAAGAGGTGGTGGTGATGGAAGTGACGTCCCCGGACACCGAGAAGAACAGTGGAGAGGAAACAAGCGCTGCTGAGAAACAGCAGCCGCCTGTTTTCAAGTGCAAAAATTATGCTTATTACCAACCGGTGGAAACTAATGATTTTTAATTGGCTCACTACTTGACTAGCCAATTGGTCCCAAGCAAATCGATTAATGTACCCCATTCTAGTCGAAATTCTAGTACTACACTATGTTTGTTTTGATTCGCTATGCAAGTTTGACAGATAAAATGAGGGGTTCGTGGATTTTCTTATGTTTCGAGGGGTGCATCGATTAGCTTGGGACCGAAGAGAGTACCAGAGCTGAGCCAAAA